AAGAGAGAAATCACCACAGGGTAGGGGGGAGGATGGCCATGCATGCACACAACTGGTGTGAGTTTCAAGCCACCAGTTCTGGGACTCGAACCATGTCAGCCAGGAGAGAGTCCAGCAACTTAACCACTACACTAACTGCTGGCAAATTATTTTTTAATGTTTAAAATTTTGTTATAGGGTGCATGTGCTCCCATAAGAGAGACACAGAGAGAGAGAGACAAAGAGAAAAAGTGAGAAAGTGCTCCCCAGGGGAGCAACCACACTGTAATCCCTTCTCTTCCACCCTTCTCTAGGGATTTCGGGCATGCACGCCAGGGCATGTCAGCCATGTAGGATCTGTGCAGTCAGCCATGTAGGATCCAACTGTCTTACGACTATGTCACTGGCTGGCCCTGATGTGCATAGATATGTTGTTCTTTCTCTCTCTCTTCCTTCTTTCCTTCCTTCTTTCCTGCCTATTTCTCTCTTTCTTTCTTTCTTTCATTTCTGCACATGCACTCACCAGAGAGAAACAGAGAGGGACAGAAGAGAAAGGAAAAGAAGGTGAAAAAGCACTCCCAAGGGGCAGATGACCATCCTGAAATCTCTTCTCCACTCTCCTCTCAGAATTTTGGGCACACACACACATGTGCCCGGTGCATTTCTCAAGCCGGCAGGTCTAAGACTCCAATCATACAATCAGCCATGTGGGATCCAGGGGCCTTAACCATTATGCCACTGGCTGGCCCTCATCACCTTTTAAATATTCTGTTTTGTATGTTCTCTAACTGCTCTGTATACAGAATAAGGCAGAAGGCAAAAAGATGAATATAGAATGCTGTCTGGCTGGGTATTTGGTAAGTCAATGCAATGGAATTCTGGCAGAAAGATTCAAAGAAAATGTCCAATGGTCCTTCATAAGGCAGACTGAAATTTTTTTTAGAGGGCTGATCTCATAATTTGGTGATTAAGGAAACCAGATTCCACATGGGCAAGTGGAGCTTGAATCCTGGCCCCAAGGCGTGAAAAACATGCCAGGCAGGCATGTGTGCACGTGTGCCTCAAATGATAAAGGGATGGAGGAATGGAGGAGAAGAGATTGTGGTGTGACCATCCCCCAGTGGTAGATACTTTCTCTGTCTCTCTCTCTGGTGAGTACACATGTCCTCTGGCAATTATAGAAACAATTTTGGGGGGAGGGAATTTTGAATTTAAGGTAAGTGGAGTATATTCAATTGGAGGTGACTTACAGAAGATTGTGAATAAAAGATAAAAGATCAGGTCTACACCAAAGTTTAACATGTAGTTTTGAGAAGCATAGAAGGCAAGGAGAAAGAAATATAGTCCTAATAATAACTTTCAAAAAGATACCTACAAAGAGATCAATAATAGAAACTATCTAATTTCTACTTTTGATGATATAACAGTTCCTCTTCTCCACAACGCTATATTTAGACTGAATGTCCATTCGTACAATTATAGGGTTTGTATGGGGCATTATTACTATTTATACAACAAACATTAATTAGACTCCTAGGCATTCTGCAAGGCCCCGAGAACACAGAGATGACTGCAAATGGTCCCAGCCCTCAAGGAACGAATCACTTATTAAGGAAATCGGCCCCACACCCCAAAACGGGACACTACGCCATTCTAAGGTAAGTGCCCCCGTGACTGCAGAGATGAGTGGTTTAAAGGCACAGATTAGGAAGTGAGTAATTCTGATTTGGCATGATTCTACAAACGGGCAATTTCAAAGGCTTTGCAGAACAGGTAGAATACTGGGAGCTTCCAAAATTTTCGTAGAAGAATGGAGTGAGGTCTTTGGAAACTGACTAATGTTTATCAAGCACACCATTTTTCCTAAGACTATAGAGTTATTCTAGACAGTTTTGGGGAGTCAATGATTATAAGAGGGCGATAAGCCCCCTTACCTCTCTCTGACCCATTCATATTTTCCTGCACCATTTACTGAACACATGGATTTATCAACTAATTATGAGAAGCTCAAAGTGGAAGTTTCCTTACATAGGTAGAGATGGGCGTATTGGCAATTCTGGGAAACAGTAAATAGATTAGCGCGGTCAGAATGCAGGATAAAAAGTAACTACCTTGGGGACCAGCAGATGGCGTAATAACTATGTCATTGGACTCCCATGTAGTCGACTGTGGTTCGAGTCCCAGACCCGGTAGCTTAAACTCATGCTGGGCACATGTGTGTGCGTGCCCAAGATCCCGAGAGGAGGATGGAGGAGCAGGGATTGGGGCATGGTCATCCCCCCTTGGGGGCGATTTCTCGCTGTCTCTCTGTCTTTCTCTGTCTTTCTGGTGCGCACACGTGCCCCATAGCAAAAACCTCCCCCCCGCAAAAAAAATAAGTAAAAAGTAAAAAGTATAGACCTTGGGAATGGAAAGATGGCCCAGAGGTTGACTGTGCAGACTTCTGTAAGCTAGAGACAGGACTTTTGGGCAATGAGAGAGACCTCAAGTGACCGTAAAGCAGGAGTGTGCAGGGATCTACTTTACATATTTGAAGTATAGACATCTGAGATCATGACGTCGAAAGCAAAGTCTGAAAGCAAAGTCTACTTACAAAGATACTTAAGAGAGTTGAACTATGAAACAATGACTATTAGACAGAACTGTCATGAGAATAGGGGAATTATACATATCATATTTTTTAATTTTGGAAAGTCATGATAGAACAATACTTGTATTAATATTTCACTGCAAGATAGAGTTCCCTAGTTGAGACACAACTGTTCTTGGACTTTCCACATTATGTTCAATGTTTAAGGGCTTATTTTCAGAGATGGTACCGTTTCACCTACTATATCAGAGATGGATCATATCCAAGAGGCATACAGGGTAATTTAGACGTTTGAAGGATTAACTCACTTTGTTAGATCCTTACAGTATCACTACTGAAAACATACCAACACTGGCATTTCCACATTGCATATGAAACAAAACAGCTCTTTCCATTTAGGGAAAGGAATAAATAGTCTTTCACTGCAGAAAAAGAATATGCATTTTAGTGAAAGAAATTTTAAGTTGAATAACAGTATAGCTTCTAGATACTTTTTTTTTTTTTTTTTAGGTTTTGCCATAGGGTGCATGTACTTGCCAGAAACAGAGAGGGAAAGCGAGAAATCACCCCCTTGTGGGGGATGGCCACACAACAATTCCGTCTCCTCCATTCTCCTCTTGGGATTTGGGGCATGCACACACACCCAACACACCTAGTGTGATTTTTAAGCTTCCAGGTGTGGGGCCTGAACTGTGGTCGGTCATCTAGGAGTCCAGTACCTTAGCCACCATGCCACTGGCTGGCCCCCAACTTCTAGCTACATTCTATTTCTCATCATCTATTTCTACATCAAATACTACATTTTTATTAATGAATGTAAGAGTAATGATTACATTATGTCAATTTCTTCCCATACAATGATTGCATGACAATAGAGAGAGAACAGAGAAGAGCTGTCTTGGTACTGCGATGCTACCAACAACCACACAAAATAATACAAGAGTTTCTTCTCTTTATACCACAAGGAAAATAGTTTTGCATCTTGCCTGAGCCAGTTCAGAAACTAGAAGCCTTTTCTTACATTAGCGACATCCTGCAAGTGACAATATCTTTTGAGGCCCTAATAATGTAATTTGACATTATTCTAGGGACTTCACATATAGCACTTGCTTAGACTTTGAAAAGAACTTAAAGTGTGAAGAACCTAAGAGGGATCTTCTTCCCCCAGTTCCTAAGATTCCCCCCAACAACTCGGTCACTCATACAATATTTTCGAGAGTTTCTGTGTGTAGGTAAGTGGTTATTTTTATTTAAAAAAACTCTAAGGGACACTAATCTAACAACAACAACAACAAAAAGAATCAGATCATAAAAGCCTGTGCTAAGTATGATTCACAGGGAAAAAATGAGCTGCAGGGTATGCCAATTGAGCTGGAAAGACTTACGCTCTTAAGTAACCAGACATGTGTAGCCACTTACGAAGCTGTCTTATTACATGTGTGCGTGCGTGCGCATGTGTGTATATACAGAGTGTTTTATTTTGACAGGATCTCACTATGTTGTGATCCTCCTGCCTCAGCCTCCTGAGTGGCTGGGACGACAAGAGTGTACCATCCACTCTGTTTTATAAGGTGAGACAGAAATTGATTGTGGGCCACCCACGTGGCCTCAATCTGTCCACAGCAGTACCCAGCACATGCTACCATGACTGGGCCTGACTACATGTGTTTAAATATCTATCAGCACAGTCAGAACTTTACATGTAAGAGAGAGCTCTCAGGAGCATTGTGGAGGTTTGCTAGACTATGAAAAGGTCTCAGAACCTGAGAGCAATGATTTGATTTCCCAAGTTGAATGCAGGTTGTTATAGCCTGAGTTAAAGAAAGCTTGGGAAGCCACTTCCAAGACTGTGATTCACTTAGTTGAACACTCATACCTTAAAGACAAAACTGGAACCAGCAGCGAAACCTACAGAGCCCCATAGAAAGACAGATGTCAGAGAGTACAAGAAGCATGAGAAATTACAATGCTATAGCTTAACTTAGAGCTTCAGAGCTAAAAGCTGAGCCGACTTTCACTTATTTATTTATTTTTTGGATTAAACCTATTTGATCACATTTTCCCCACTGTTAAAGAGTTTCCCACTTCCAAAGTACCAAGACAATTCCTTTCAAACCTGCGGCATTTGTTCTTCCTCTGAAGACATCATCATATGCTTTCCACTGTGGCTTCACCTGGTAGGCGTGAGTGAACACCACACACACCACCACAAGGCACATCAAAGGAACGAGAGCTGCAGTAAACAGAGCTGCATAGATGTTTGGGATGAAACACCTGTAAGAGCAAAGAGCAGGGAGAAGTGAGACAACTTCCATACCAGTATTTCTAAATTCAGAGTATTTACTGGGTTGTCAGGAAAGTCATGCCACATTTTTGCATAGAAAAACACAGACAAACACATCACGACTTTTCCCACGATCCAACAGTTGTCTTTTGGTGCCTGTGGGGGATTGGACACAGGACTCCCCAACAGAGACCAAAATCTATGAACACTTGAGTCCCTTATATAAAATGGCATATGACATGCATGCACAGCATTTGCATCTGGCCTTCACGCATCCTCCCACATACCTTAAACTTATTTGCATGTAGCCTTCACGCATCCTCCCACATACCTTAAACTCTCTCTAAATGACTTATAATACAGAATACAACGTCTACACATTACTTCATTCACGTGCGTTCAGTATGGTAATTGGCATGCAGCGAATTCAAGTTTTGCTTTTTGGCAATTTGTAGAACTTTTTTATTTCAAATAGTTTCAAGTTACAGTTGGTTCAATTTGCAGATGTGGAACCTACAAATACAAAGGGCCGATGTATATCATATCATCACTTTATGCTAGTTCCCTGTGTCTAGATGTTGGCAAAAGTCTATTTTTGGTTTGCCAAACTGAAACTGTTTGAGTAGAGGCTACATAATTAAATCCAGTCCCCTATTTCACAAAGTAGGTCCTATGAAATAGTCTACCTTTTGGGAAGCTCAGAAAACTTCAGATAAGGCTATGGCCAAGTAAACTTGAGAAATACACATGAATGTACCTCAGAGATTCAGGGTATGTATCTGTCATAAAAAGATTATATAAAGCGTTGGCCCTGTGTCACAGTGGCTAAGCACAGTACACTGGGAGCCACAGTCCATGTGGCCGATTATGATTCAAATCCCAACCCGACTGCCTTGAAAAACATGCCAGGCACATATGCATGTATGCCCCAAATCCTTGTGGGATGGAGAAGTAGAAGAGAAGGAACTGTGGCATGACCATGTCTTTTGGGGGCTGCTTTCTCTCTCCTTCTCTGGCAAGTGCATGTGCCCTTCGATAGATAATAAATAACGAAAAACGACTTTAGAACTTGGAGTCAATATATCGGGACTCTGGAATTAGGCTGGCATTGAATGCTAGCACCACATCTTTTAAAAAACGAGTGACTTAGGGCCAGAAGATACTGTAGTGGTTACGGCAAAGGACTCTCATGTAGATGACTGTGGTTCAAGTCTTAGACCCGGAGTCTTAAAACGCATGCCAGGTGCGTGTGTATGCATGCTCAAAATCCCAAGAGGAGAACGGAGGAAAAGGTATTGAGGCATGGCCATCACATCCCCAGGGGTGATTTCTCACTTTCTCTCTGTCTCTCCATTGAGCACACACACCCTATAGGAAAAAAATCTCTGTCTAAAAATTAAAAAAAAAAAAAGTGACATTAGGTATACATTTCTAACTTTGCTGAATTGTCCCTCTTCTTTAAAATAAGAATTATAATAGTGCTATGATGGAAATTAGTTGTGAAGATAGGCTGAAATAATTTACATAAAGCATTTAAGTAAATTTTGTTTAACCTAGTTCTGGACTTAAATAATAACTGAACCCTCTACTTCTTCACACATACACACACACACAGACCCATTCTTGTACTAATGTTCCTGGAACACACTTTATAAATCACAAGTCTAGCTAGAGAAGGAAGGAGCAACAGGGAGGCCGTACAATCACACAGAGATAGAAGGACTAATAGGCAGCCCCCAGCCAAATGCATCAGCAGGGACCCCTGACCAGCCTGCTATGGGGTTCCTACAATCCCAGAGAAAAATAGGAGCAACAAGGAGTCCCTGTAATCCCAAAGATAGAAGGTAGTAGCTGCTGCCCCACAATGCCACTCTGCCCCTCACTCTTCTTCTTTTTTTAAAATAATTATTCTATTTATTCATGTGTTTCTTTTAATTTGATCAGAGACACACACACACTGATAGAAAGAGAGGCAAAGTGAGAAAGCAAGCCCCCAGGTCCAGGACTTGAACTGTGGTCAGCCATGTGGGATTGTCCAGCACCTTAACCACCATGCCACCTGCTGGTCCCCTGCCCCTCACTCTTCTAGGACAAACAGGCAGGCCCAAGCTAAACTGCTTGGCTTGAGCTCATAAGCAAGGACTCCCACCCAGCCTGCTATTGTAGGGGCTCTCCCATCCACACAGTGTGCAAGTACACAGCAGGAAGTGGTATGCCATCTTGCATTCTACCTGTCAGCTCAGCCTCCATACACATTGAGAGCAGTTAGGTTTGGGTATACAAGAACCAAACACCTGTAAATAGCAGACTCTGGAGGGATTCTTTACCCATAATTCCTTAGTAGTAAAAGAAGAGAAATTCCCTTCTAAATAACTAAACCCTAAACTACTGTGGATTCCACATTCTCACTCAGAGTAGAGGAGGGAAATTGGCATAGAGCTTATGCATATAATAAAGAAGTGTGGGGCTACACAGCTACAGAAACATATCCCAAAGTAAGAAGAAGTGAATATATGACCAGATGACTAAAAGTCAAAGCAGAGCCCCAAGAAATAGTAAAAATCAGGAAATATAACCCCAAAGGATCATAATTTCTCACCAGCAATGGATAAAACATAAGAGATCACAGATCTGTCAAAAAAAGAATTTAGAATATTCATTGTAACAATATTCAATAAGATGCAAGAGAAAACAGACAACCAATTTGAGGAGATAAGAAAATCTGTCCATGACTTGAAGGAGGAGTTCCATAAAGAGACACATTGAAAAAAGGATCAAACAGATTTTCTGGAGATAAAGAATACGATGCATGAAATCAAAACCTCCCTCGAAAGTATCAACAGTATATTAGACCATGCAAAGGCAGAATCTCTGACCTTGAAGACAAAACCTCTGATTTAGTCCAAGCAATTGAAAAGAACAGAAAAATCATTAAAAATTAGTACAATATACAGGAAATCCTACACACCATTAAATGGCCAAATACCTACATAATAGTTATTCCAGAACGTGAAGAGACAGGTAGCGGCCTAGAAAACATCTTTCAGAAAACTTTCCAAATTCAGAAAGGCATGTGGTCATCAAAATTCAGGAGGTACAAAGGATATCAAATAGATCTAAGATAAAAAGAGCCTTTCCAAGGCATAGCATAGCCAATTAGTAAACATTAAAGGTAAAGACAAAAATTGCAAAAATGGCAAGAGAGAAATGCCAAGTTATTTACAAGGGTCACCCCATTAGACTAGCACCAGACCTCTGATGAAACAATGCAGACAAGGAAAGAATGGAAAGACATACTTAAAACTCTGAAAAAACAAAAAGCTATTTCAGCCAAGAGTACTATTTCTAGCAAGATGATCCTTCAAATAGGAAGAAGAAATAAAATCATTACCAGACAAACAAATACTGAAAGAATTCACCAAAATGAAACTGACTTAGCAAGGAATACTAAAGGGACTACTATGGCAGGATAGCTAAAGGAAGACAAATAGAAGTCAGAGAACACAAAACAGCTAGTAAAAAAAGAAGTTCACTTATTGATAATAACCCTGTATGTCAAGAATAAATGTAGATTCAACTATTTTACACACAAGCAGGTTTACATACAAATCCACCAATTATTTGATAGACAGCTGTCTCCACAGGTTTCAATTTATATATTATAACTATTATTCATTGTATAAAACTAGATAATAGAGGAAAAGTACAGAGTGTTACAACTGAATCTTCCTTTGGAAAGACTGACTCAACAAAAGGCTAAAATCAAGAACTTTGTCGAGACTGTAAATCACAATATCACTGGTTTTACTATGACTTCCCTTATAAACATCTCTTACCAATTGTGTTTTATCTTTGCTTTTTCGAGGACTCATTTCTTTATGCACAGTACAATACTATGGTCTTATGAAAACTCACAGTGTGTAAGAAGTGTTCTTTTTCTATCACTTCCTAATGAGTTATTGTTATGTACAACTTGACCTACCTCTATATAGACCAGTGATTGATACCCACAGATTTTTTTTTCAGATTTTTTTCAATTATTTTCACCCACAGTCTTCTACATGGAAATGAAAAATTCTTTTTTCATTGGCTATGTTAAGATTATCTTTGTTAATTTATGAGGTTGTTTGTTGCCTGATTTTTTTTAAATAATTTTTTAAAGAATAATTTATTTATTTATTACTTATTTTGTTTTTTTACTTATCCATTTTAATTTCACCAGAGAGGGACAGAGATAGAGATAGAGATAGAGAGAGAGAGAGAGAGAGAGAGAGAGAGAGAGAGAGAGAGAAAGAGAGAAAGTGAGAAAGCAAGCCACCAGGTCTGGGACTCAAACCGTAGTGGACCATGTGGCAGTGTCCAGTACATTAACCACCATGCCACTCACTAGTCCCTGTTGTGTGATTTTTAATCAATATGTTTTCCTTTAGAATTGTATCTCACAGTAAAAAATTCTGTAGACCATTCAGTACAGAATAACCATTACCATTATGCACCCTATGAAGATATGTAATGGGGACCAGCAGTTAGCATAATGGCTATGTCATTGGACTCCCATGTAGTTGACCGCAGTTCGTGTTCCGGACCCGGTGGCTTAAACTCACGCCGGGTGTGTGTGCGTGTGTGCCCAAGATCCCGAGAGGAGAATGGAGGACAAGTGTGGTCAAATCCCCTTGGGCATGATTTCTCACTTTCTGTCTCTCTGTCTTTCTCTGGCGAGAAACAAAAACCTATAACAAAAACCTCTCCAAAACAAAAAAAAAGATGTGTAATGCTTACATGTAAATCATAAATTATAATAAGTATTTAAAGAGAAAAAATTAACTTAAAAAGAAAAAAGAAATCAGAAGTCTAGTTCAACTCATGTTTCAATTAACTGGTGGATTCTGGGTAGACTCAAAGGCTCATTTCTATTCCTTCTAGTTAGTTAACCTCAAAACAACAAAAAGAACACCTTCAAGGCTCACAGTTACGGGGCCGATGGAGTCAC